ACGGCAACGTTGAAATATCTGATTTTTCAAGGTGACTTGAGAGATTTTGAAGTAGTAATACACTGTGAGAGAGAACGAAATGGGTTTGTGACATTGTCTCGTACTTATTTGCCAAATGACCAGAAAGCAGAAAGATTTTGTAGTCAGGTTTTGTGACAGTTACTCTTGGATTATAATTGATATAATTTAGTGATGATAGCCCTTAGCCTACTTCTCAACTCCAAAACGTAGTCTTACTTTCTGTTTCTAACTTGAAAACTTATTCCGAACTCTTACTCTAATTGATTTACCGGACACCTAACGACATCGCTTACTGTGAGAAATAATTCACTGAAAAGATCGCTATTTATCTCAAAACTCCCTAAACCCTTGTGACTCCTTCGTCTTTCGAACCATACAATGCCTCATGCTATTCTGGGGTTGGTGGTTGAAGTTCAATCACCTCCGCAATTTTGACCTTGAGTCTGAAAACCAATCAGGTTGAAGATGGAATTATTATTTGCGCTATTACAATCCATGATGAGCAGAACGTTTCGGTCTACGAGGTTTGCTGCTGGATCGTCAGTATCTCAGAAGTATTCGGAGTTTCTGTGTCTCGAACGATCACCATCTATGCAGTCTTATATGTTCACAAGAAATGTTGCCACCGATTAGAATCCTTTACTGTATCAGCGCATACTTCATGTCGTGCGGCTGCAATTAAACGCAACTCAATTTCGTAAATGTGCTCTTCAGCTTAGCAACCAATCAGAATGTGGCGGGAATTATCATATCAGCCATCTTTGTACGTAATGGCGGCCGGCTTTGTTCGTTCTGTGCTTCTTTTAGCTATTTCTTTTGTGTAGCTATGTAATTAATGTTTCAATGTGCTAAGATGCCGCAGTTAGTGTAATGTTCTACATGTTGGTGTGAAATTTACTTCGAATCAGCATTGTTTTTTGGTTTTTTGCTGCTTCTACTCTAGTCAATGTATTTCTTCAGTCAAGCTGGTTAGTCTTATGTTTTAAAATGGAAATCGGTTTGGTTTTGACTTGTTTTCTAAATATCCAAAGCCGAAAATCGTTTTTTCTTAGCTGAAATAACTGTTGCTGCCTCCTGTGACTAACTGTCCGCATGTTCATTCCTAACCGTCCTTTATGATGTTATCGGCAAAATGAAAGGAAACAATTTCCGGTTTTTAATTTACTTCAGTAGTGCGGACAAAAATATCCCACAACGAGTCAAACTAATACTTAGTGCCTAGAAGTAGGGGATGTCAGTATTGTTTTCGAAAGTACCCAGGCTTGCGACAACCATAGACGAAGTCACAGATGCTACCAATCTATTGCAGAGGGTTTGTTATGAGAAAATATGCCACATAGCAGTAATGGAGGGGTTATACGCATTACGTAGTGCGTTAAAGCAAGCTTAACATTGAAAAGCCGGAAATCTGCTATCAGTGTGTAGTGTATGTTTGGTGTTTTGGCCACAAAAGGAAGCCGAAGGGTCATGATCAGAAAGTAAAAAGGTAACTAACTGTTATTAAGCTCACCTTTTTATAGACCATAATTCACCACTCGCAAATTTGTGTTTTTTACGGTATGATGTCAACCGTTATCTAATATGTTCACCCTTACGATGAAAAGTACCTGCAAATTCTCACATTCATATTCGAATTATTTTGGGACAACTGTCTTCCAGTTTGAGTGCTTCGTACGCCCTGGGAGACTAGATTCTTACATTATTCACAGTTCCAGTATAACATTCTCACGCAGTAAGTTCAAAGTAAACACTAGTCTTTCTAGATAAGCATGTTAAACTAATATCCGTATTCTCTATTTCAGTTGATCGATGAAGACATGTACCACGTGCATCTGCTGTATATTGCTATTTTACTCCAATTCTAACTGTTATATACTGAAAAATAAAATTGCTATATGCAGCAAATACAGACTTATTGTTTTGATGGTGGTAGGTGGGTTCATGGGATTTTTAGCAGGACTGTAGTAATATTCTCAATAAAAAGCTAAGTGAGTGCGTAGACCAATCTAAAGTACCATACAAGATGCCTTTGAATTACTCGTGTTCCATTAGTGTCGGTAGAAGCATTACTTGTTTATCATATGACATTTGAATAAGAAGCTATGAGATTAGACGCAGGGACGGTTAGGATGTGTAACGCGTGTCCATCTATCAGTTTTCGTGGCAATTCATGGTGGCTAGAATAAGTTGTGAGAGGACCCGAGCCTGTAGGTTTCCCAAGAAAATGACGGATATATGCACCAAATCACCTTATGAAGAGCGCCTCTACTCATTAAAGTATAGACGTCTTAGAGGTGACCTATTTACTTACAGGATCCTTAACACTTCTGGACATTCTCTTAAACACCTACATGAGCTTAATCCCAGATACTAGAGACACGACATAGCAGAATGGACTGTAGACGCAACTTCTACTCCTTAAGAGTTGTCGGATGCTGGAATTCGCTGCCCGCCGAACTAGTCCAAGCGACTTCCCAGGAGTCCTTTAGGAGGCGACTGGATCTCTTATTGTTAACACACCCAGGTTCCTGCTTGAAGGTTTTGGTGATCCCCTGCTACTAGACACGGAAGCCTGAACACATGAATTAGGTGATGAGAGACTCGATTATCACAAGTTTCTTGCAACGATTAAGTAGATAAAACAAAGTAGCATTAGGTTCAAAAATTTATTCGAGAACTTTCATTAAGAATCGAATATGAAACAAAGGTTTAAACCAAGTTCCAGTCTAAAAGTTGCATTTGTAATGTTAAACTGCAGTTTTTGTTGTTTTTTCCAAACGAAAGGGTAAAAGAAGTAACTCAAAAAGTACTGGAAGTGGTTGTGAGATTAAAATGGACATCCAGCATCCTTTTTATAATCTGCTGTTAGTTGGGTCTCCCGTAAACAGATCCATAGGGCCATAGTTCTAAGGGCGAAACAGTTCTTAACATCTGTGAAGACTCAGTCCTGTTGCATTCTAAATGAGAAAACAGTAATGAATTTAGTCAGAAATGTGGAATAGATAAATAACCAAATTACATGTTTTTTAGCAAAGAATTTATGCAGTTGTGGTTTACCTTTAGTTCATGAATATTAGGTCAGGTCAGCTATTACTTGTGCAAAGCATTGAGATACGGCATTAAGTCCATGTTATATAACATGGACTTAATACCGTATCTCAATGCTTTTATTATTTTGCTCTAATTTAAGTATTACCATGTATCTGCATCTAGTTTAACAGGGAGACATACAAGCAGAGTTAGTGTTTGATGAACTAAAGGTCCTAGTAGTCAAAAAGATTCTTAACATTTGTTCACAGCCAACTGCATTTAATTGAGATACAGACTACTCATCTTCTAAGACTGTATACTGCTCTTCTGTGGGCAAATAAAAGCTCACACACTTAGCTATCCGATGTTATTGCTGGGGAAATTGTTTAATGACAGTGATCATGAAATATGGTCAGTGATAGATGTACAATCTATAAATAAACAAACATACTTATCGCTATCTTATAATGTATGACAGCAACAGTACCAAAAGCACTTTTTTCCTATTTTTAATCAGACTGATTTGAATTAGTATACTCATCAGAAACAGGCAACTCTACTTACTAGACTGATCTGTTTCGTTACAGACTTCAAGCACTATACTTAAGTATACCATAATTCTTTCAACTAAACTGAATTATACGACAACCAAGAATACTAAGCTAAGCAAGTGTCATAGTTGTTGTTTCATTTGCACAGGCATATTGCTTAAAGTATTTAAATGGACATAATTAAGACTATAAAACAAAAACACGAAATGTAGGTCAATTGAACTTACCGAACGGAAGACAAAGAATATATATATTGCTTTCCGACTGAAGACAACAGGCAGTTGTTCATAAAAACATAGTTTATAGTACAATAAACCTTTCTACAGTAAAATCATGCACTGACAGTCTATCTGGAAACAATCAACTATGTGAATAAACTCACTATAACTTGAGATATCATCCCAGCACACAAAGGACGTGCAGTGTAACGCAGTCGGACGTGGAGAATAAAAATATAAAAAAAGATCAAAATTAGCTATATAATCTAGTTATTTAATTAAAAATACATTATGAACTGACAAAATTTGTGGTTAATTGAACGCACAGATGACCGATACATTAAGTTTACATGGTTGCGTTGCGGATAAGATCACCCTGTCGTGCTTATGTGTTTTTTATCATTATGTTCCCTAACGAGTAACCAGGGTAAGCTTTTTTCTATCAGAAATAACGGTGTTGTCACTCTGTGCTCATATGCGTTACTAGGTTACATGGGCAAAAGCAAGTTTAATAAAGAGAAGCTTGAAGTATGTTATTGGTATGTCATGCATGGTTGTTGCTTCGGTGATAAAAAAAAGACAGAGGGCCATTTCCAGGATGAGCAACACGAAAATTTCAGTCTCCCCTTTAATTCCTTCTTAGTTTCTTATAAATTGCCCACTTTATTTTCCCTTTTATGTCACTCAAGGCACAGCCGTAAAAAATGAAACCCTAAAGCTTTAACTACTCACAGTGTCCACTATAGGCTTACGCGTAAGATCTTTGTACGATGGAGATATCACTCCATCTTGCTACGGATGTATCGAGTGTAGGATAGTCAGTTTTAGTGAATGAAACTTTATAATATAGAGAAAGTCACCCCTTCAATTAACTCTATGATAGAAATTACTTCAAAATATGTACGATTCGTTGACTAAATGAGCGAAAACATGACTACAATTACCGAGAACGAAACACTTTGATGATCTGATAGCGTGAAGTTTATCTCTACCCTAATATTGGTACGTAAGAGATCTTAACATTTCTTGGGTCATCAATATGGTTTACTTCTAACGATCTCTCTTTATAAAATGTCAATAACTATTCACTACTAATTACTAAGAGCTTTCATATATTTATTTGTTTATCACTAGCTGACTTTGTGTTCAGACATCTACTGCTGTTTCAGCCGCTACTTTTAAGGATGGTAGCAGTTATCGCTTCCTCATCAGCTTCCTCAATCCTAGAAGTTACGTTTACTGAAGGGTTTCTCATATATATTAAAAAAATTATCGGAGGTTTCTATTTCCTCCTAACATTTATGATTTCTATCCGATAAATCCAGACAAAGAATTTTTGGGACGACTGTTTTTGACTTAAGATCCCAAGCTGCCAGCTTTGGGGAAATTTTGGATTTTCCTTGGTTTTCACTTGTCTTCTAACCAAGTTGCCTGAAATGACAGGATTAGGCTACGTATTGTTCAATTTATTCTAGGAGACAAGTTTAACTAGTACTAAATTATTACTAAATTGTATATCCCATTAGTTTACCCCACCTTATTTGTCGTGGTAAATGATTGTGATGTGATATTTTTTGGTCAAACAATTTAGTGAAGGGTAAAAATATTTGTACTAATTTTAACTATTTTTGTCATTTTCTTATAGATTTGTACGAGAAATAGGAAGGATCATTATGGATTCTAAAAACCTGCCGTCAAAATTTTGTTACTTCAGGTCAGAATTGAATATGCATCCTCCAGAGACTCCGTTGCATGTTACACAAGAAGCTGTTAGGATGTTAGAGGCTTACCTGAACATAAGCTCTCTTAGAAGGCAAAAAAGTACTAAATCTGACAGTACGTTTGTGTTTAATCCTTACAAACCTAATGATTTAATGACAGGAGGATCAAATGTTTACCATGACGACATAAGTGTACTGCCTCTTAAAGATTACATAAAAAATAATGATCAAGCATCAGTAAGGGAAAACATTAATATTTTAATCACCTTGCCAGATTTGCGCAAGTGCTAACTATGTTAAACAAATACTGAATATGTCTTTTGATAACAGAGAACGTTTAAAGAAGTTAGAAAAGATCTCTCCACATTTCGGTAATACGACAACACATCTTGAAGATAGTAGGTTCATATTTAATGAAAATACACTTGGTCATATAAAGCTATCAGTAAGCAAGTTATCACTTTTTATGTTCATTCAAGAATTCAGTGTCTGTTGTGAACAAGATGGGCTCATGTATTGTGTGATGTCTGTAGGCAGTTTTCACTTATTTGTTGTTCACACCGTGTAAAGAAACTTTTTGGAGTACCTATAAAAGAAATTTAGTTAATAGTGGCCTTGATAATCTATGATCATAAGCACTGTGTCTGAGGTAACTGTTTGAGTCTTTTTGCATACAGGTAAGTTAAAATGTACTGTTTCTATTGTCAACCTTTTCTGACCCTTCCTTCCATTGTGGAATGGCAGCGTTTTTAGAGATGCTGGTCATTCATGCATAACGCATTACTGATATTTCACGCCAGTACGATGGGCAGTAAAGATTCCCGCGTATACATTATACCAGCTGCAACCGACCATCCTTACTTAGATTTAGGTGTTAAAGCCAATTTGGTTTAACTTGCTTTTCAAGATAGGCAAATCCAGTTACATCATGGTGGTAGCTACAGCCAACAATAATTTTTTTTTAAATCACACTATAAAAAGCCTTAGACACGTGTTTAATGCTCATTGGAAGCTGAGGATGCAGAAACGTTTGTTGGTTAATGCTGACGTAAGTGAAACCAATGCATGAAACTTCTTATCTGCCCTAAAGTATCAGTTGCAGAGCAAAACAGCAAGTTTCCAAGCTTGATAACTGTTTGGTAAACTTCATTGATTTTACTCGCCAATCACTGAGTTGGATTTCATGACATGAGTGACTTTTTCTAGTGAGTGGATTCTCTGCTGCAGAATATTTTGTTTCAAATTCACATATACTATCAGACTTCGGGAGAAATTAAAAAGAATCAGCTTAGCAACAACTGAACCGCATAATTAGTGAGCGGCCACTAAACAGTTAAAAACACACAATGGATTTGTGCTAATCAAAAACATTGCCAATTAATTGTAACTGTCAGAATTTGATTTGATATTACGTGTACTGTAGCTTTTCTTCAATATCTACAGCTATCAGTTAAGTCTTTGTACAAGGCGATTTTACACAATAAAGTCAAAATTCACTCATTATGCAACATTCGTAATTTGTAGTCAAAAAATAAAAACTATTATTGCATCACTATGCCACTAAATAGTGTGTTGAACTTCACGAAAGTAATACCAGGTTGATTCTTTCCACTTTAGTAAAAAGCAAAACCAAAAAAGTATTTACTCGATAAACTTAGTATGTTTTCCCCTTTTTTATAACTTTAGTTAAAAGCTCTGCTTAAATGCAGTGTGGTAAGACAAACAAACAAGGTAATACGCTACCCGTCGCTCCAAAAGTATTGGAAAATTGTTTAAAGACTACTCAGTTTCATTGAGGTTATAATTAACTCCAAGTATCATCTTAATAAAAGTCAAATGCCATTAGATAAAAGGAGGTTCAGATTTAAAATAACTAATTTATATGCTTTACAATTCTTATGAGAAATAGATTGCTGAATTTGTTTGTGGTGACAACCCGTATAGTAATAAGCAAACGTATGTTTACTTTAAAGCTCCACATTGTTTAAAGATGAATCCTGACGCAAGGGATAGTAATTGAACTTAATGCCACAAATATCGCCAAACTCCTCAAAATTAATATTTAGTTGTAAAGAATGTTCCTGATCAGTACATTGATTTCGAAGGCTGATTTTCATCAAAAATGATTGAAATATTCTGAAAAGAATTGACGGCTAACTTACATAATTTTAGATTAAAATGTTAGTCATTCGGTTCAGTGGAATTCATGTTCTCATTAATTAAAATGATAAAAACACGGTGTTTCAGGTCTTATTTTGTACATTCTCGTTATTTATAGCTTGTTCACTTAACTGTGAAATTATTCCTAATAAAATTCCTCTTCAGTCAATGAATGGATCATTTGTACAAAAAACAAAAATAAATGAATTTTTTCCTCGTTTTGACAATGTTGATGGCCTTAGTGCTAAATCTCGACACTCTGATTCACTACATAATTTAGGTAGCATAGAACCAGTCAGTCCACTAGTGTTTGAAATACCAATTCAAATACCTGATATAGAAACTGGCAGTTCATTGTCCAAGAGGTTTGTAATGAAAGACGATTCTGTATCTTCATCGATCATGCGCTATCATAGTGTATGCAGTGGAAGTGCAGAAAAAACTCACGCCATACCTAAAATAGAAGAATGGTCAGCAATCGAAGTTGGGTCTCATCATAATCAATATACTCGACGTTTCAGTGTTAAGTCAGCCCCTGATGACGTACAGCACTGTGTGCACATAAGACCTAAACGAAGTGCTACCAAAAAATGGTTTAAATTCCGGTTTCCCAAAAGCAGTTTTAACTTAAAATCTCACATTGGAAATAAATTATCTACAGCTAAAGAGGAAATATTCGGATTAAACAGTGTATTTATGGAAACTAGTTCTCACGAAAAAACATCAACTCTAGAAAAAGAATATAATGGCTGTGCTGAAGTCAATGGTACCCTCTCTCCTCCAATACCCAACATAAAATTGGGTACAAACATCATAAACAAACCAAATGAAAGGCTTCAACATCCACCACTTACCAATGTATGTGCTCAGTTATTCCCCCGATTATTTCGTCAGAGTGAATCTTCGTCTAATTATTTATCAAGTGGTTTTTTCCCTAGAATACAAAGGCTATCCACAAACACTATTCGTCGAGTAAAGCGAAAAAAACGCACTGCTAGGAAACTGGATAAAATTTCTACTCAAGCTTCTGTAGAAGAACAACAAGAAGAGGTAGGGTTTCTCATCTTTTGTAACGTTAGGTCTCATTGTTTAAATTCTGAGATATTCTGTACATCTTTTTCAAATGCTACTGCTTATTGTCTATTTCGTAAATAATCTCAAAGTAATGTTAGTTGATGGAACATAGTTTATGTCATAGCATACCACCGGTTACATCAAGAAACAATATTAAATAGCATAAGAATAGGTTGGATAAAATTTACTGACAACTAGATCAAAATATATCATCAGACCATGAAATTATAATTTGTTAAGCAGATTAATGTGTAAATGGAAGTGAAGACTCTTGCTTATAGTCGTTTGAGATAATTGTAATTCTTAGAATAAAACCTGAGGTTCAAAACTAGCAACAATGTTAATGATTTGTTTAGTTTTTTCAGTTTTGGGACTTTAAACGTAACATAATTCATTCTTTAACGTCACTAGTTCCATATGAAATTGTATCTTTTTATTCAACCCCTCATTATCATTCATATCGTTATTTCAGATTCTTGACCTTCCATTCTGATTGACATAAATCATTTTTCCACTTGAGCCGATACCCATATGTGTAAGGTTCTATATTGTTGATGACTGAATAATATGAGCACTTAGTTACAACTAGTTTATTGTATTATCTGATAAACTAGTGTTATAAATATATAGCTTGACCATAGAAAAGGTAAATTGGATATAAAATATCTTAGATATCTACCTAGTTGTTACTATCATGTAGTTGGGTTTTTTTTACAATAGGTCGTAGAGATTAAAAACTAGCTAGGTGCGTAAACAAAGCCTGGAAAATGTTATCCCGCTCGTAAAAAGACAATATTCTACCATTAGATAATTTGTAATTTTATCAAATAACCTTAAACTTAAGACTTATCAACCCATAAATTAACTATCATAAGCATAAAGAATAGAGGAAGTAACATAAAGTGACTAATATTCTAACAAGTCAGATCCAGTATATTAGTTAATTATTCTAATATCTCTCTCCTGAACTAAGTGTTTCATAAAACGTTTTAAAAGATCTGTTGGTACTAAGTAATCGATACATTTTGGCAATTAAAGTGACCCATTGTATCACTGAATAAAAATAAAGAGGATTCAGCGAAGAAAATCTTTTCTATGAAGTCATATACTTAAGCTGTACATTCGTATTTGTAGTTGTTTAATAAATGTGAGTCTATAGATTGGATAAAAGAGATCTGATCATAAAGTGGTCCGAGATATAAAACAAAAAAAGCAGGTTGCGTAATGGTCAATACATTTTGAATAAATCTTTATTCACATAGATACATTTTTTGATGTGAATATGATAATTCACTGACAAAAACTTAAAACGTTTGGTCATTTGGTAATTTACCTAGAAAATAAACGAAAAAGAGCCAAGAGAAAAACAGAACAACTTAACCAATGTTACATATTTTCAAAGATAAATCATCGGTACTATTTGATGATACAACATAAATGGATCAGCACCAGTAAGGTTTCTTTTTCCTAAATCAGAGCTTGGTAAATTTTGCCGACATACTTTTTTGTTTACGTACTCTTCTCATTGGATACCTTTCAACTTTCCACAAGTTTTATAGGTGACGCAGCCCCTTTTATATTTTCAGATAATTCGTGTGAAAATGTTCTCTCATGAATGAACAAAGCATTAAGTAAATTATATTTGAGTCAGAGCATATCGCATTTAAGTTAATTAGTCGGTTTTAGGTATTCATGCATCCCTAAAATAATTGTATCCGATATATTTCTTTTTCTGAATGTAGAGTGAATTTTTTTTTAGCTTTCTTTTATTAACTGTTATGATTAAATATCTATCTGATCCATTTACTTGTCTAGTTTCGCTTATTACCGTTATATACCAAACGGCGTTCATCCAAATTCTCTCATTATGGGAATGTTGGGTTAATTGAAAATAAAGGGAACTTATTAGTTGAAAAAGTAGAGTATAACTTATTGAACAGATCAAATCACTCATCGGATAAAGAATTTTTAGAAAATGACTCGTTTAATACCCCAATAATGAATTCCAAAACATGGCCAATCGGTTCACCTAGCTCAAAGGTAGCTGGCGAAATTGCTTTTCTTTATCGTGGATTGATCGAAACAATAGGAAGTGATAAATTGATTGAATCTGCTTCACAAACATGGAGTCATTTCACTCACAGAAAACTTCAGTCTTCAGATAAAACTAATGTACCTGTAAGTTTTTTCGTAATTATTTCATTGTGTGGTATCAAATGTTACTGAACCTTTCCTCCCATATTTTTATTCCATCTGGTTCTTCATTTATTGTTTATCTTTAGTTTGAATATAGCTGAGTCTACCATTAATATTATTGTTGATGTTACCAGTTGGCTAATCAGGAATTACTCATCCGATAAGAAACGAAATGTAAAAATGCACTTGTTATTGATTTGCTTATTTTCTGGATGGAAAAAAATCCTCAAATGGTTAGAAGTTATAAACCATGTGCAGCATTTTTATTTTGTCTTTCATTCTAATAGCGTCACTCGTATCCTAATCTGTCTTTCAATAAGTAATTCATCCTTTATTTTTAACTGATTCATTTTAAAGTACTGATGTGACTTGTCTATATCCGGTGATAACTAGCATCGATTTGTCTCCAACATATATCTCATTCACCTTTTCTCGTCCTAGAGCCGTCTAATCCTATCGACAAATCTTTCAGGGGTGATTTATTGAAAGTGTATTCAGATAAGGGGCATGTTATTATAACTGACTATAATGAACTTGAAAATATAAAAATAAAACAAGCGTTCTAAAGGGGCAATAAATCAGTTGGAAGATTGTATCTTTGGCCGTGATAAAAATAAAAGATAGGTGTCGTAGAGATTCTATATCCAAAGGTTAAGGAGGTTCAAACCAACAACGATGAACTGATGATATTCTTCGATGTGACAGCCTCTATTCACTTCAATCGAACCAAGCTTAGCAAAAGAAATTCTAACTCTGCTCCCCACCGATGATATGAATCTCCAAAAGTACTCGAAGTCGGAGTTTACTAGAACTCATCGATCAATGCTTAACAACATATTCTCAACTCAACAATATAATCTACAAACAAACGAGAGGAACACCAATAGGATCACTAATGTCAAGATTTATTACAGAAGCAGAGATGCGGAGACTGAGAGCCTCGATATCACTGGTGATTAAACCAAAAATGTAAATGTTGTATTCGTCATCGATGAAAGGGATGAGCTGGAAAGCACTTACAACGTCATCGATGACATAAAACGATTCACAATGGAAAATGATCCGAACAGATACCTATCATTCTTAGATGTATTAATTACTAAAACCGACAGAAAAATTAGAGACTCAAGTATATCGTTAACCGGTTCACACAGATCAAATTCTCAATTATGGTAGTACCAACCCGAGAGCTCAAAATCAATTGCGTACAAACTTTATTCAAGAGGGCGAAAACACATTGCAGCACTTGCAGCGCAGAAAAATGAAGAAAAGTGTATAATTACTTTATTCCAAAAGAACGGCTACCTAATGAACATAAAAAATATTAACCAAACGCATCAGAAACAAAATTAAGTAGAGAAACCAACAAACGGATCATCCTAATATATGTAAAATACATATCAGAAGTTACATAGAGGTTGTTGGAGCCGTTTGTAATAGGTGTAGCACAAAAACCAAAAACTCACTTCAATCAATCTTACGCAAACCAAAAGACGAAATGACAAAAGGAGAAAAACCGAATACTTACAAAATAAACTGTTCCAATTGTGAAAAACACTACATCGGAAGAACTGGACGCCCCTTCATATTCGCCTGCATGAATATCAATTAGCTGTCAAGACCCATGACATATCTCCTCTTCTATCAATGTTGAGATCTTGGATACGGGCTTGGGCCTCAGGTCAATCGATTAATCAACAAACACACTAAAATCGATCCAATTTATCAACCAATCAGAAAAATTATGAACAAATATAGGACCAAGAATCATTTGGAGATACAATCAAAATAAAGTAGATGGTGATAGATTAAAGGATAACAAAAACTGATCAAGATCAAGGGTTACAGGAAAGCTGTATCATATGTGGAGAAATTAGAACACTACTTCTACCTGAACTTTGTACTGATGATATTGGTCTGAGGAACAACGAAAGCTCCACGACCAAACCATTTAGGTCAGAGAACAAAGCTCAACCTAAATCAATTATGTTCTTGGTTTTTTAATATTTCATCAGTTCATTGCTTTTGTGATGCTAGCCATTTCGAGAAATGTATGTTTGTATAATTCAGTGTACGGATATTTTATTGCCAAGAGTATGGTTTTAGGAGATAACCAGCTTTTCAGAACGTTTAGCGTTATCAGACAGAATGATGTTAGATTGAGGTTTTGGTGTTAATATTTCTCTTTGCTTACTGTATTAACATATTTGCTTATTGAACAGAAGAAGGAAATATAACAACCCACGTGCAATTGAGTTTGTTCTCATTTAACTCAGTTAAGCCCTTTTGTTAACTTATTTAGCGGACAAAGTCATCCGTACTATAACAACTTATTGTACCTTTATTATTGTTGTGCTTGTATGAAATATGTATGCTTGAACATTGCTTACCGCTTACGCATATATTCATTCTGCTAACTTTATTATTAGCTGCTTAATCGATTCGATGGTTCATTCATTTCCCTATATACATGTACATTTAACACTCTACACTCTCGGTTCGCTGACTCATTCGTTTGCCTCTCGGCTTTGTTGTCTGAGTTATCTACTAATAACACTGTAGTCTCTGCTTCTCTTTGCCTTCTGATTTCAAACGTCTTTGAGGATTATATGGTAACGGTTACGAGGGTGATTGGTTAACGAAACACAGCCACTACAGTAGCATATTTTATTCAAGTGTTTTGTACAGTCATATGGCAATGTGAATGTTAAAGTAGAACTGCATCTATCATCCCACCCACTCTATTTTCATTTTTTTAAGCAAATTTACTTTGAGTTTACTATTTGACGTTAGTCACACTTCCCGTTACAAGCCATTGTCTTGCAGTTGTGTTTATGCTGTTATTATTATTGTATATGCTGCTTGGTTGTACGATTTAGCTATTAATAGTCAGACTGTGCGTCTAAATAATAGACATATCCTTCTTAAATTTATCTAACCTGTTTTGTTTATGAATTTATTATTTTCACCAATACACTACAATCGTGTGCATGGGTTATGAGTCATAGCATTTTTATATTATATCAATGAAGTCTAAATTTGAAGTTTTCCATTCTAGCCATCTTAACTATGGCTTTCAAAATCGATCTGTTGCGATAAACATACAGGCACAGAATAAACCCACTTATTAAAGAAATTGTCATATTTTGGACGAACTATGACTCGTCATCATTAGTGATTTGTGTAGAAATATTTTTTAAAGAACGTCGATATTTGGAAAATCATCACATGAAGTTTGGACGTTTCACGGTACTTCCAGCGAAGAGCGATGCACTTGCTTTTGAATTTTAATGGCTATTAGGATGTAGAATAAAAATTACAAAATGCTTTGAATATCTGTCTTGCACTTAAGTTAAATATAATAACTTCTACTGTTTAGGGCTGTTATCCTTTGTGTAGCATAGGCCGCCCACCAGCGTTCTCCATCGAAATCTATCATGGAAAATCATTTCCAGTTGTTTCCAATTGATATTGATTCTTTCGATGTCTGCTTCCGATCCTCGGAGTAGTATGTTCCTTAGTCTTCCTCTTCCCTTCAGGATTCCAAATTAGCACTTGCCTCGAGATACATTTTGGTGATTTTTGTAATGTATGTCCTATTCACCAGAAACGTCTTTTCTTGCGATGGTGGAGAAGATTTGTAGCTCAGGTTTCTTAATTTTCTCCTTACCTCGAATCTGGTTTGTTTGCTCCTACAGTAGACTGTTGCTGGTGGTATCCGTTCAACGGACATTGATTACCTTGCGTAGACAATTGTTTATAATTACTTGTACATTTTTGCAGATGGTTGTGGTAGTTCTCGAAGTTTCGGCTCCGTACAGTAGAACTGTCTTGACGTTCGTATCAAGGATTCTGACTTTGGTGTTGGCTGACAGTTGTTTTGAGTTCCATATGTTCTTCAGTTGTAGAAATGCCGCCCTTGCATTGCCAATCATTGTCTTTACATTTGTATCAGATCTTTCTTGTTTATCGATGATGCTGTCCAGGTATGTGTAAGGTTCCACCTCTTCTACAGCTTCTCCAACAAATGTGATTTGGTTGGTGTTCTCTGTGTTGTATTTAAGGATCTTACTTTTCCCCTTGTGTATGTTGAGGCTTCTGCTACACTGGTTGTCTTCATCTGCATTTTTTCGTGTGTATGAAATAGAAGAGCTAGGTCATCTGCAAAGTCCAAATCGTCTGGTCGCATACGAGTTGTCCATTTTATTCCGTTCTTCCCCTCAGATGTAGAGGTCTGCATAATCCAGTCGACCACCATAAGAAAGAGAAAGAGGTAGATTAAGCAGCCTTGTCTGATTCCAGTTCTCACTTGGAATGTGTCTGTCAGCTGTCTAACATGCGCTGTTTTTCAGTGTAGTCCGTCGTGTAAATTCCATTTGATGTTGATGATTTTCCTTGGCATATCATAATGTAGAAGAAGGCTCCATAAGATTATACTATCTACACTGTCACACAATTTCGCATAGTCGAAGACGTTTATGTGTAGTGACGAATTTCATCAAACCGACTGCTCAACAACGATCTGTAGTGTCTCCATTTGATCTGTGCACAACCGATCGTTGCGGAATCCAACCTGTTCATCTCGAAGTTTGGCATTTACCGAATCTTTTAATTCATACACAGGGATTTAAATGTAATTTTCGAATTTTTTATAAACAATGTAAAGTAAGTTTTTGTTTTTATCTTTATTGTATAGTCGTTCAATTTGAATTCAGTTATAATTCAATGCGATAAATCGAATAAATCCACATATGACCTTACAACCAATGATTTATCTACAATGCAGCATTGTACTATTGATCATACAAAAGTTACGGATGAAATAGTGTCAAGTAGGGGAGCGACTGATGAAGCACTAAAAAATACTACCATCAGTTCTAAACCGAATCAAGCAAATAAATCTTCAACAAAAAATGAACTATTTGTAAGGAATGCTTTTTTTTCAAGTATTTTGTTTATAAATGTTTCTTCAGTCTTACTGTCCCAACTGTAAGTAATTCATTAAATTGATGATTTTATTTATCTTAAAAACAGGCTAAATTGGCTATGGCACTGGCTTCTTGTATATATATATATTCATTTAACGAATGGTTGACTATTTAGTACTAAATTGTGAACACTCAAATATTTGCCGATCGTATCTGATATGTGACTCTCCTTATCTATTGCAAATATTCTACATTTTTACGTATGTTTAATAGGTCAATTTACTAGTCTTATAACAATTTATAACCAACATTGTTTATATATGTATTTAGTAACTAATATTCTGTAGTGAATAAAAACAATTTAGTTGATATCAGTCACTTAGTTGTGATCTTTATTATGTAGCACGTAAATAGACAGATAAATAGTGACAAGGAAACAAATAAACTCATAACGACAAACACTGAGATGTTCAATACATTTATCGTAAAGGAAATTTATTTATGTATTCTTGGTTTATGTTACTTGGATTTTATAACCGGTTATTTAAGAATGTTGCCAAGGCAACCTTTATATTTCCACAAAAGATTTAATTAAAGGGAACGAATGCCATGAATCAGGGTTGAGGGTCACATCGGGGTAGTAGTACGCATTTTCTGGTTTTAACTACTTGTGTTGTGGGTTCTATTTGTTCGTAGGTTTTATTTTCCTGTCTTATCTGGGTATTCAATGGACTTGATGTAATTCAAATTGTGGTCAAATTAGCTGAAAAATATGTTTCACTTAACGAGTACGCGTAAATACCCCAATTCGATTGAGAATTGTTTAATACGACTGTTTGAAGTAAAGATAAAAACCAACTTAATGTACGGGTTAATTTTTCTGTTGTTCCTAAATTGTTCGGGATAAGATTGTGCACGCTCCAATCGTATCAATTAATATTAAGATAATCATTATTCAGCATTCAGAAGTAACGAATGCCGAAATGTTATTTATTATATGATTTAGCAATTCATCAGTCAGTCCATTGTACCTTCGGATTACAAGGCGTAACCGCTGAACATATAAGATCTGATAGAGAAATATGTACGCGATGGCTGATCTATTTACACCACGGAACTCGTTTTTGATTAAAAAAAAACAACCCAGTATATGACCAATGCTAGATGTACTGGTTGAAGCAGGTTAGAATGTGTAGTATTGCTTGAAGGGACAATGTCTCTGAATCAGGTTAATGACTGCCGATGTAGACTGGTTATCGAATTTGAGCATACTCTTTGCATCTATTACTAGAAGAATTGACATTATTTCTAACTTGCACCTGAAATCTAAAAATTCATCAATGAAGTCCAAGTATCACTTGTCTTTACGTTTCACTTTCCTTTTATCTTTTTCTTTTAGTATATCAAAGTCCATCTGGATAGATCTTGATAAATCTTATTTACGTACTAACAATCTCCCTCTTATTATAAATTTCCAAACTAGGCTTATTTATCTGATCCTATCTGTCAAAAAACTAAGACAAACTGTTGACATAATTGCTAATGTGGTTTACTCATTCTATTTTTGATACATGTTGTTGACATGTTTTCGAAATTTCAGTTCAATAAAGTAACACAAAATCTCGGAAACTGTGTGGTGAGGAATTCTTCAAACAATTCTGAACTTCAAAATGAATTAAAAGTAGAAAACTCCAATAATTCATCAACAAATGATGATACACACTATCCATATGCTAAATACGTTGCAGCTATGATTGATGCTTTGTCTGAACGTCTTATGGGTAAAATATCAGAAGATGATTTAGAATTACGTTTTCAGACTTTAGAAGCAGAAGCATCTAAAGCGGCCAAACACAAAAATGCCCAATCTGTTAAACGTGAACGATTCTACTCGGTTAGTAATGGAGCTGAGAATTTACGTTGTCAGAATTCCTTAGAAAATACGACACGGGGTAATTCATCATCAGATGAAAATATATTCAATAACATAACAGAAAGAAATGAGCTAAAGAATAGACGATGCCATTCTGTAACTAATTTTTTTGCTACGACAAAATCATCAGACTTACATAATGCATCATCATTAGAATCAAGCCAACGTAATTTGAAATATTCTTGTTTAGAACAGGTGAAACGATTACAACTTCGAAACAAAGTAAAGTGTTATTACAAACCATTATTATTTATCAGAATTTTATACATGTTAACTTTTATGCGTTTATATACTGCCCATTCATAAATCTGAGTCTTTTAAGCTAAGAGGTTGTAATTTAGGTAGTTTAGGTAAAATTACAACAATTTACTATACTCTTGTGTTCATATGACTGAGGTCCTGGTATTCATATTCTTTCTAGTCAGTCAATTATCATCAGCGTAGATGCTAGCTCAAAGTTTGCACACTTCATTATCACGATGAGATAAATTTAACATGATGAATAGTAAGAAAGATCGGAATAATGTAGTTGAAATAACAATCAAAATGACTTAGCTCTGAGGATAGGGTATGAGAAAACAGTGGAAAGATATATATAGTTTCGAATGAGTTAGCTTCTTATTGGTAAACCTTACCACTGGAGATGAGAATCCGTGGATCAGAGTGAGGTTTGACATATGAAGGATCGACCTTCTTCTCCCGTTGTGAGAAGGCAGCATTGTCACAGATGCTAGTTGTCCTAGAGAGACACCTAGTCGCTATCATTCCTCTTTATGCAGTCGTCAGCACAACTTGACTATCAGATTACGAGTTTAGTACTTTTTATCTTGCTGCTCTCCTACCAACCTGCTTGGCATGTTGAAACATAGAACGACGAGTTTTCCAGCCAATATAACCTAATTTAGTTTTCGTATCGCGCAAGCCCAACCACCAGGACAACGTATCCGCTATGGATTTTTTCTAGTGTTCGATTACTTAAAAATATCACTTGTAAATTTGAGATATTTCAATGAAGAAAATTTCCAGTTGATCAATGTGGTCCTATAAATTTCTCTAATTAAGGGGCACAAACACTTCTAACGCTTACTTCGAGGCCCAATCCTAGCTGGAGTACGTTGCGAGAAAGTTTGGGCTAGGAAAACGAAGATGGATCAACAGTCTACGAAGTCATAAACTGTTAAACAAACAGTACCTCTAAAAGCATATTTCTTGGTTTGAATCCCCAGGTTTCACATATCAGTTGATATAGTCCTATATCTGTTACATTAGCGCATATGTATTTGGTGCTTCCTTGTACCAATGTTTGTGTTTAAATGAATATTGTCATCTTCCATACATTTCATTCGTTCTTAAACTACTATACTGATACTGAATTCGCAATTACGACAGATCTTGTTTTGCACTCCGCCTCTCATCATATGAGTCATCTTTTTCGCCTTTTTCATCTGACAATTGGGTTTTTTGAACTGACACACAACTATCCGCAGTCTTATATTGTCTATGAATAAATAGAATAAAAACTATATCTCTATTCATTACGGTTATCGAATTAATACAATTAAGGGACAGCGAAAAAAAAATAATACAAATTTGACTATTCATTAAAAATATTTACTTGTTTCAAGAATCTTTACTAGTGAACTGGTTATAAAGTTGTCATTTCATAAGTGGTAAGTAGATGTACAAACAGTCGGTTTTCACAATATTATTCTTTAAGTATTATTGTTAAACGTAAAAAATATCAATTTGTTTTAATAGTCAATATGTAAATCGATTTAATCTTCCATTGTTTAACCATTTCAGATTTGCTATCATTGCTATTTACTAACCATGTGGTATTTTGACATTAAATGTGTTAGTCATACAGCAGGTCTTAAATGTAGAGGTGTGCATATTTTGAACTGTTTGTACAGACTATTTTAGTTGTTATTCTACTTGGAACGTCCCATATTAGATGCGAACTTTATTTCTGATTGGCAATCCAACTAGTTTGTGGAAAATAAAACAATGATACGTTACTTTTAGCAGTCAAACTATGGTGGAAATGAAAAACAAGTGTAAACTAATGATAACTACTTAATTACTTACGCCTGTTATTCCTAATGGAGCATAGGCTGCCGACCGGCATTCTCCAACCCACTCTGTCCTGGGCCTTCCTTTCTAGTTCCACCCCATTCTTGTTCATTTTTCTCATGTCTATTTCCATTTCCCGGCGTAATGTGTTCTTTGATCCTCCTCTTTTCCTTTGCCCTTGAGGATTCCATATGAGGGCTTGTCTTGTGACGCAGTTGTGTGCTTTCCTCAATGTGTGTCCTATCCACTTCCAGCGCTTCTTCCTAATTTCTCCCTCCGCTGGGATCTGGTATGTTCTTTCACACAGTTGGTTGTTGCTAATAGTGCCTGGCCAACGGATCCGAAGTATTTTGCGTAGTCAACTGTTAATAAACACTTGTACCTTCTGAATGATGGCTTTCGTAGTTCTCCAGGTTTCCGCCCAAACTAATGATACAGTTATAACTAAAGGTCTAATGTAATGATCAGGTTTTTAAAATGTTTAGTAGAATAATGATTCAGTTTAATTCAGTCAATGTTCTCGATTCCGAGTCGTCCAGTCTTCCAGATGGACGAGCCCGTGTAATTTAAATTAACAATTAGAACTTTGTTCATTAAAGTTGTATTTTGTTTTGTCTGCATTCGAACTTGTAACCCATTCTCATTCTAGGCAACATTTCACATTCAGCCAAACAAAAGCCTGGCATAATTAACATATTTCATAACTGCTAGTCTGTCAAGCCCATTGACTGCGTATTTTACTTCGCTTACTAAAAGTCTACCATTGGACCCCAGGTTCTAAAAGATGGACTTAAATTATGATCTATGTGTTATGTACAATATCTGATTGATGTACAGAAAGAATAATTTATACTACTGGGCCTTGTTGTTATCCTTAAGTGATAACTACGTTTGGAAACAAACTCTGTACTTCGAAACATCATGTTATTCTTTGATACTCCTATTATTTAACGGCTATATTAGAAGTTTGATGGAATTTTTACTTCGAACTTGTCACAACTAGAGAATCATTTCAAACTCATGAGTCTTGCTCAGCCATTTTATCGTAGATTGATACACTTCTACGGTGCACAACAAAACTACAAAAGATGTACGATGAAACCTTAGTTTTCTCATCGAAGACGACACCTTAGAACCAATAATTTTGAGTTTAGTGTTTCTCACCTTCAGTTTCAGTCAGTTTTTCGATACAGCACGATACTCATTCAATTTAATCGCTGGACGATTTCACAGATCATCTCAGAACTAATCACTAGTGGGTATACGATGATTACTTAAGTAATTTTGTAGGAATTGTTTTACAATTCGGGAGTGATTTTTATCACTAATTGATGCTAGCTAATACATTAAATAAATCAAAATTAAATAAATCCTGCTGTTTTTTACAGTCATTAGAAAACAAAGCACTTGTTGTAATCTAATAGAATATATGATGTTATTATAGATACCTGAAACTTTTGGTGAATTGTAGTGGTAACCAGTAGACAACCTCATGTCATTCTCTTCAATAGATTGGTGTGTCAGCTCATTCACCCTCAGTCTCGTGAACAATCTCATACATGAATAAGCGTTTATTTTTTGTATTATCAACGGTTTTATTTAATTATTTAGATATGCTGAATTGATGTTTATCCCTTTTTAAAACCAATTAGTTACGTATAATCAAATTGAGTTTGACAATTTATTTTTTAATGATAATATTCAAACTTGTTCATTGTTAGTTGTACGAATTGCACATTTTCTAATCCGATTGTTTATAGCTCATATAATCTATTCATGGATATTGGTTTTATTATTATTATCTTGAAATTTAATTTAGTTAATTATAACAGAGGATTTATTAAATCGTCTTGTAAATCATACAAATTATCCGAATTTCGAGGCTGATATCCTAGATTTATTAGGTCGACAACCGAATTGGCATAGAATCGCTATTCTTTATTATCTTACTAGATGTTCAGTTAGACATATATTAAATCTACATATAGAGAAGTTGGAAACAATACAAGAGTCAACTTCAAGTTCATCAATGTTACGTCAGTCGATAAATATTAATTCAGATAGTGAGGAAATTGATGGAAGTTATTTACAATCATCAGGAAGGTAGGTCGTTTCATAGAAATTAAATAAATTTGATTATTAAAAGTGTTTGGTGTATAGTTTTTATCCATTTGATTTAGGGAGGTGATCGCAAGCGATCATTCTATGACTGGTATGTTTACAGAAGTTCATAGTTTGATTATTGACAAGTGCTTTATTCTGGGTTTGATTTTAGTTTTCATTGCGCTTTAACACTGAATATAAAAGGGTAAATGCTATCATGTTTACCAATAGGATTCATTATTTAAGTATCGAATACACAAAATGTTACCAACGAAATAAGTACTTGATTAAAATGATATCAACGTTTCCATGATTGAATGACCTTGAAGACCAGGAAGCACTGGACAGCTGTTTCTTCCTAGTATGAGGCAGAGAACAGTCCATGACCTCATCGAGGATCAAACTCTGGACCTTCATGTCCAGTGGCGATAGCTTAATATTCAGAACACTATATTAGCATCCAATCGTGATGTAAAATTTTAAGTTCAACAATTTCTACAAACCGCTATACTGGTAATTATTGTGTACTCATAAGTGATAAATTCTGAGATGCGATTCCTAGTTCTCTCGTTAAAAGCAGCGACCATTAGAGTTCAGTCACACTGTCTAGCTTTCGTCCCGCTCGCGGGACTCTAACCCAGGACCTTCGGTCTCGTGTGCGAACGTTTAACCTCTAAAGCACCGAGCCGGTATGCAACAGTGTTAATTTCTAACTTCAATCACATCACGAAATCGCGTCACCATTCACCATTGTTTTCACTGAGTCATTGCCTCACAACAGATACAGTTGAACTCCACTGGTCGCTGCTTCTTACTAGGACTCCAGGAAATATCTCTTGAAGCCATTAACTAGTGAGCACATGATGATTACTATAAGATTTAGGGGTCTTGTGAAAATTTTAGTAATTTAATGGTTGAATTTATGAGTCAAAGCGGGATCGTGGGTGCACACTACTGAGGAGTTCCATATTAGAACGGAACGGCTGTCCAGTGCTTCCAAGTTTTCCATAGTAGTCTAGATTTAGCCGCCCCATGAATCCAACTACTAAATTATTACAATCTCCGCAAAACCACCTTCCTGAAAATGATTAGTGATAGATACGCTCTTTGCATGCACTATGATGCCATTGGTTGAAAGTTATTAGCCAATCAGGGACTATATATATATATATATATATATATATATATATATATATATATATATATATATATATATATACGTTTCTTATCTATCAAATAATGGAATTCGCTGATTTAAAGTACTACCGTACAAATAATTTGTATCGCTCCGTAATTTTCAATAAACAGTGATCACTCAAAGAGGATATTTGAGTTGACGTATTGAGGTTGAATACACCATGCAACTTGGCTACTAAGTGATGCCCTAGATGTTTATGAGAAAGTGACTCCGTTAGCTAGATGTCTCTTGTATTTTCAATGTGAAGTAATATTGGTTGATTTAATGTACTGCTTGGTGGTTTTAATACATGATGAGTCACTATAACTTGTATTTAAACTATTACTCATCTGTTTCACAGAAGGAAAACAAGAGTAATTGAATATCATCTATGTACATTGTTCTCATCAAGAAAAGTGGAGTCGTGAACACCAATAAATCAAGAGTAATAGATTTTCAGCTTTTATTTGCAATTATGGAAACACCAACTTTTATAATAATAAACTGAAGAATATTTGTGTTGTGACGAGCGGTGTTCAAAATCTGATACTGATACACAGTGTACTACGCGCTAACTCTTCAACTGACTACTTGAATGAGAACACAAGAGTAAGAAAGTATATTGCGCTACCCAATAAAGTGCGTAAATACTCATTTATATGTATACCACTTTAAAACTTTGGAAGTTGATTCATTTCTTAGCCCATGATATGCATTTTAGTTTTAGGTCACTTCTGTTTGCCATCAACTGACCTTCTCATTAGGGTATTTCTTGTTGGCTTACCATATTAAGTTGTTATCTATTTCATAGTTCTTTCTTTCTTTGTTTTTTAAAAAAAAATCCTAATTCATACTTGTTACGCATCAAGTAAATCACCTCAAAATAATTTTTATCCATCAAATTCAACATATGAAACAATAATTCGTGATACTGGCCAATGTCGAGCAAATATAGGCCGAATCAAAGATTATACAATTACTTTTTTTACACGTTGGTATGCAGATTGGGTTTATAAACGTGGTGGTTGGGTGAGTTTCTAATAATTTCAAAAGAATGTAAATAACTATTATGTACTGCCTTTACAAAAAAAGTAGATATTTAGTTTGTTTAACAAATGACAATAAAAACAACTGAAAGTTATTAAAGACTAAGACAGGACTAATTGGATAGTAGAAAGCTGTAATGCAATCGGAAGAATATGGAAGTTGTCACGGATTGTGAAGATCCATTTATTTTTCAAACCGTTGTTTGGAATTATTATGGATTTAATGTCATGGGGAGTATTGCTAGTTATAATTTATGTATCAATCACATTCTTTTCTTTGGCTTAGAAATGTTAAATAAGTGCCTTTTCTCACTGCTAGAAGGGCAAGAATAATAAATTAAAACCAGATAATTTATCTCATAATTTATTCGTCAGTCATTTTTTTGAAGAACTCAAAATAACAAATGTTTTCATCGTGGAAGTAATTAGTTAAAAGAAGGAGAACTTGATCTTTAGTACGTTTTCTGTCTGAAACGTGAATTGATATAACTAGTGAAGATATAATCAGACAAAAAAGAAACACATTTTGATCAGTTATGGGAACTGTAAGTGATAAACAGTGTTAAGCAAATCTAACTTAGGAGAAGAGTACATTTTCAGTGATTGGTAATCAAATAAAGATATACCACACGCAAATCAAACTGTGTTAAAGTGGTGAAGATGTAAACAAAAATATTAATGGTCACTTTGTTTATGAATACAATTAACATGTAATGTAACCAAGACTATATATTATTCTTCATAATAATTTCAACTAATTAGAACATCGATAATTAAGTAATAACTTGGCAACTTCTTTTAAATGTTTTTCTCAGCTGAAGTGTTATTACAAATTAAGTAGTGATCAACACTGGTTTTAATTGTTTTTTGTGACTCATATTAGTATACATTTGAAGGATTGGACATGAGATTGAATGAATGACCTCTAGCCTTAGAGGTAAACACGATACGATGAAAACTAATGTGTTGTAATCAAATGTTTAATATATGAAACCAGTATATAATATAATACAATATTCATTCTGTTATCGATATGTAACCCTCATTCTCAACATATTTGACTTTACATATCACTACGTCCAATTGAAAGTACAAAGTTAGGGTATAAACAAAGAGCAGTTACCACCGTTTCATTTAAAGTTGTTTTATTAAAAAAATGTTGAAAATTTAAAACAGTCTCATTATAAGCAAAGGTGGATGATGATTAGAAGTGGGCTTCAAGACGCGCATTTTGCCTGTCTGGGACTCGTCAGCTGGATATTTACTCCGGATCTCGAACCTAGTACCGTTCACTTCGAACGCCATCGCGTTATTCACTTAGCTGCTGAGTCCAGATATCCACCAACTTGTGCACTGGAGTAAAGTTTAATTCATCTAATATACAACACTTAATCCTGTTAACCACTATCTTATTACACTAGTCAAAAAGATGTTAACCTGCCATTGTCTACTATTCCATCCACCTGATGATACAAATAAAATCATTATAAATTATTGAAATAAGTTTTCAGCATTTGTGTGTTTTAAGAAAATTGGTTGTACTTGTTGTTTGGATCTGCGATGTAAGTTAGTTTTAAGACAATCCACATTGTTGAATGTGAATTCAGTTTCGTTTAAAGAAAAACATTTAATAGACAGAAAGTATAATATTCTGTTGTATTTCATCCAAATAAAATTCACTCTATTTGTTTATGTTTTGTCTTTGTCCCCCCTCCAAAGCAATCTGTAATCGAGGAAACTGAAGATTCTGAGCTAGACTAAATTGTTCATCAATTTTTTTACGTGAATGGAATAAATGTTATTTTTTTAACGAACACACAACTCGGTGCTTAATTTTTGTCAAACTATTCGTTCTAATATTGACGAATATTCGTATAGACAACTAGTCAGTATGTGATAAATTATATGTAGAGCTTATAATACCTAAATTTTATACATAAAAAGTAATTTGTTTATGATAACTTCATTTGTATGTCATATATATGTGAGGGACAGAAATGACAATCGATTCATAATATTTAATTATTACTTTTTTTCCCCCCGAACATTGTAAATTTCTACGTGTGTTTATGTAGCAATCACCTTTTGTAATGTAATTTAAAAAATGTAATTTAACTGTATATGTTCCTAAAAACAATATGATAATACAATATATTGTTAGTATGTAAGTAATATACTCATTTTATATCATTTTGTTTGAGACTTTTTCCGTAAATCAATTTAATGTATATATGATAATGCTCAACTTAGTTTTTTTGCTTGACCATATTTTTCTCTGTTTTTTATAAACCACATTAGAGGTAGTAGCGGGGTAAAAATGAACTGAATTGATGTCAGAAACAATTATGAACAAAATTATGAGGATATGAAACATAATTAACGAGAGAGGGGAATATTTTCAAATGCGAAATCAAATAAAAATAGTAATAGTTTAAGAACTCCGCCTGGAGTCCCTCCGGGGGCTACTGCCGGTCCCAAGCCCGGATAAAGGAGGAGGGTTGGGCATGGGGTTAGCGTCCCCATCCCGTAGAAAACTAACTCGCTAAAAAAACGCTAACCAGAAAAAAATATTCAAACCTTTTAAACTCTGCCCCGGGAGTCAGAAGGTCTTCATTTAGAAGAACTATGACGCCTCACGATGAAAGCCGAATTCCTTCGGAAGTTACGAGGCCGATGCCCCTTCTGACAACCAGAGCAACCATTTATTTAGGTACATGGAATGTTCGTACAATGTGGGACACCGGAAGAGCCCTCCAAATTACTGCAGAAATGAGGAGATGCAACCTAGAGGTGCTTGGGATCAGTGAAACACATTGGACGCAAGTTGGACAACAACGACTAACTTCAGGAGAGCTTCTGTTATACTCCGGCCATGAAGAAGAAAATGTTCCACATACACAAGGAGTTGCATTGATGCTGTCCAAACAAGCACAAAATGCACTTATAGGATGGGAATCTCATGGACCAAGGATCATCAAAGCCTCCTTCAAAACAAAGAAAGAGGGCATTTCAATGAACATCATCCAATGCTATGCGCTTACCAACAATTACAATGAAGACGCTAAAGATCAATTCTACGATATGCTGCAGTCAATCATCGAGAAGTGCCCAACAAAGGACCTGACCATTCTGATGTGAGATTTAAATGCCAAAGTTGGAATGGACAACACCGGATATGAAGACATCATGGGATGACACGGACTGGAAGAAAGGAACAAGAATGGTGAGAGATTTGCAAACCTATGTGCCTTCAATAAACTGGTCATAGGCGGCACCATATTCCCACATAAACCATACACAAAGCCATATAGCGACTCACGTGCAAATGGGTTTATTCTCATTTAACTCAGTTAAGCCCTTTTGTTAACTTATTTAATGGACAAAGTCATCCATGATATAACAACTTGTTGTACTATCTTTATTATTATGCTTGTATGAAATACATAGGCTTGAACATTGTTTAGCGCCTACGCATGTATTCATTCTGCTAGCTTCATTATTAACTGCTTAATCTATTCGCTGACTCACCTATTTTCCTATACATATATATACCTGTACATTTTGCACGCATTGACTACAGCTACTTACTACTGCTTCAATCGTAGTTCGCTTGCTCATTCATTTTGCCTCTCTGCTGTCTGGTCCGAATTATCTACTAAATAAAACTGTAGTAGCTGCTTCTTTTTGCCTTCTGATTTCATATATCGTTGAAGATTGTACGATAACGGTTCGAGGGTGATTAAATAACGAAGCACAGCCACTACGGAATCGGTAACCCCGACGTGAGAACGGGAAGCGAATTTTGACGAAATAATCAAATTCCAAAAATCCGACTACCTTCATCTCAATGTGGATTATCAAATGAACTATAATTACAACTGTGGATTTATATTATTATTTTAATTACACTTACATTATTTCGTAAACATTATTAAACGTGGCAATTATAATCATAATAAACAACAATTATCCATAAACAATTGATATATTGGTGCAATTTAGTAAGTCTGTTCCATTTTATAAATTGTGCCATTTTTTATTATCATTGTTTTCGCCCGTCTATTTTTCTTTGTGACTGTTACATTATTTTCGTGTGCTATTTAATTTTTATAAGCATGTCTTATGAAAACACAGTTTCAAGCGTACAGCAAGCCTTGTCCGTGAGGTCTCTTAACCTCCCTGCCCCTTCTTTTAAAATCACAGACCCAAAACTTTGGTTTATAAGACTTGAAAATTATTTTCTCGCTAACCGCATTCTTTTGCAAAAGGATAAGTTCGGCCTGACAAGCACACTAATCCCAGACGAAGTAGCTGACAACGTTCGAGAGGCACTAGCAAAACCAGACACAGAAAAACCATACGACGTGCTAAAAGAGGCTGTAATTAAAACTCTCTCTCTCAGTGACCAACAAGCCGTCGAACAACTCCTTAGCCAAGTACAAATTGGAGATAGAACCCCATCACAACTAAAAAATTATATGAAAAGTCTACTTGGCGATAGACACATTGACAATAATCTCTTCTATCAATTGTGGCTCCGCCGACTCCCGGCAAATATTCAGCAGAGCCTAGCTGTAGGAGATACGGATGCTGATTTAGACAATATAGCAAAGATAGCCGATAGAATATACGAAAGAAGCAAGCAAGCAAGCCCTCCACTACACAGCGTGACAGTAGACGATAGACTTGATACTCTACAGAAGGAAATAAATGTTTTATGCCGAAAACTCAGAGTTAACGCAGAGAGAAAAGCCACGAAGGTCGTCGCGAGATCGTTCGCGTGAAAGGGCCCGGTCAACTTCTAGACGACGCCCAACTCCCGCGATATGTTGGTATCATCAAATGTTCGGCTACAGGGCCAGAAAGTGCCTACAACCTTGTAGATTTAACAGAGCTAGTAACCGATACCCACGAGTATCAATGGCAACAGCATCAACACACGTAATGCCTGAAAATAGTCGCCTCTTTTATATACAAGACCGAACCACTGGCACGCAATTTTTAGTTGACACTGGAGCGGAAATTAGCGTAGTACCTCCATTTAACGAGGAAAGAAAAAACATTAATCCGTCATTAGTGCTAAGAGCAGCAAACAAATCAGATATTAAGACATATGGTAAACGGAAATTGTCCCTAGATTTTGGACGTGGCGCTTCATACCGCTGGAACTTTGTCATAGCAGACGTATCGATGCCCATAATAGGCATAGATTTCTTATGTAACTTTGACCTGCTAGTAGACTCTAGACGACACAGACTTATAAACGGCAATCAAACCACTTCGATAAGAGGAATACTTACGGAAGCCGTTTCGATGAATCTTGTGATCGATAAAAGTCGTGATGATCCATATAAATTGTTGTTAAAGGAGTTCCCTGAACTTGTAAAAGTAACATACAGTAAAGCAGATCTCAAACATTCTATCCAGCATCACATCGTAACGAGTGGTCCACCAATTAATGCAAGACCAAGAAGGCTAGATCCCAAAAGACTAGCTATCGCTAAACAGGAATTCGACAAGCTAATGAGGCTAGGCATTATAAGGCCATCGAACAGCCCGTGGGCATCCCCGCTACATATGGCCCCGAAGAAGAATGGAGAGGTTAGGCCATGTGGGGATTACAGAGCACTAAACAAACAAACAGTAGCTGATAGATATCCTATACCGCACATTCATGATTTCACCTACAATATAGAGGGCACTACTATCTTCTCGAAGATCGACTTAGTCAGAGTGTAGTGGCTGTGCTTCGTTAATTAATCACCCTCGAACCGTTATCGTACAATCTTCAACGATATTTGAAATCAGAAGGCAAAAAGAAGCAGCTACTACAGTTTTATTTAGTAGATAATTCGGACCAGACAGCAGAGAGGCAAAACGAATGAGCAAGCGAACTACGATTGTAGCAGTAGCAAGTAGCTGTAGTCAATGCGTGCAAAATGTACAGGTATATATATATGTATAGGAAAATAGGTGAGTCAGCGAATAGATTAAGCAGTTAATAATGAAGCTAGCAGAATGAATACATGCGTAGGCGCTAAACAATGCTCAAGCATATGTATTTCATACAAGCATAATAATAAAGATTGTACAACAAGTTGTTATATCATGGATGACTTTGTCCATTAAATAAGTTAACAAAAGGGCTTAACTGAGTTAAATGAGAATATACCCATTTGCACGTGAGTCGCTATAATAGCTCTCCCCTGCAAACAAAGATATATGGAAAATGTCTGTGTTTGCACACAAAAAATAGTAGACTGAATAGGGTAGTTACAACTGTTTGAAAAAAAAGGCTTATACAAAATTAAGATTAAGTTAGTGTGTGCTGTACATTTGGTTTGCGCCCGTCCGTGAGGTTACATAAAATAATAGCAAGAATAGAAGGAATGCGGTATTGTCTTTACATTTTAAACAAAAATTATACGTATAAGTTTAAGGGTACATAAGATACGTTGAGTTTTATAGCGTATAACATGAGCTTGATAATGCATGTGTATACAATGAAGTAGAAGTTATAATTAATATTCCGAATAGTAGATTATTATTAATAGAAAATTGTAGCAACATAATGTTGGGGCCATCTTACTCTGCGGCCAGATCTTGTTGTTATCGGAGTCTCGTTTTTTTGTTGAGTTAACGTTGTTGATTTTTGGAACTGACGTTTTGATGATTCAACGGTTTTCGCAGTATCTGTATGTACTGGCTGATCGTAGGCTTCGATGAAAGCTGGTTTGACTCGGTCGATGCTAATTACATCCGTTTTTCCAGCTTTGTCTACCGTAATAGTTTTGTCGTCTCTTTTAATCACCTTAAATGGACCATCGTAGGCCGGTTGTAAGGGACGTTGCACATTATCCCTTCTGATAAACACATGGGTACTGTTACTTAGTTGTTTGGGTATGTACACACGGCGTTGATGTTGTCTCGGAAGCGTTATCCTTAGACTACTCATATGCTGTTTAAGACGCTGTACATAGTCGGCTATATCAGTTGGAACGCTTTTACCTGCGGTGAAAAACTCTCCTGGCAGACGTAGTGTGGTTCCATAAACCAATTCTGCTGGGCAGCATTCTATATCT